CTAACTCGCTTCTGGGAAAATGTAATTTTCACAATCCCAGCTAAGTCTCTTTCTGTTTAAGCGTCTACTTTCTAAAGCCTTTTAACTAGGCATCCTATAATGAATTGGCTTTTTTGTTAAACTTATGTACTAGTAAAAATCTACCCAAATTTCTACCTACCTAAATTTTCTGACCCCCAAAATCACGAAAATGTGCGACTCCATTCTAGTACATTGTAACTCTCTCATTGAAAGTGCAATCCCATTATAGTCAATCGAGTTGTGATAATATTATCCCAACTAGCAGCACATCCCTTTCAGCCTACCCTCTTGGTTTCCATACACAAAGAGTTTTGGAATTTTTATCTCTTCTGGGCCTGGCTGTTCAAAACTGGGTTAAGATAACCCAGCCAGGACTTTACATACAGTGAAACCCGTATTAAGCAGACACCTTCAGGGAATGCCGTAGTGTCTAATTAATACAGTGTGTCCGCCTAATGCAGGTTTCGAAAGATAATGTCACATGAGGTGTCAATTAAATGCCATTCAAACGAACAGTGGATACGTTTAGAATATTACCAGAGACTATGACCATATACGTCTGCATTTTGCAGGGAAACCAGTGGTGGCGTCGCAAAATGTCAGGCTGAGTATTATCCAGGGGATAGATATTTATCTGGTGGAAAGCACTACCCAGTCCTTTTGAACAATGAGAGACTGGGAGGAGAGAGTCACTGGCTGAGAGTATATTTTCTTGCCCAAGAACAAATCATAATGACTCGAGTAAGGGCAAAAACTCAGACCTCTCAATCTGGCCCTAGTTGTCGTTCACAAAGGTAGATAGCACTATCCACAGGATAAATCTCTATTCATCAGGCTGTGGTTGTTCAAATGTTGGAAAGCGCTATCCACCGGATAAAAATCTATCCAGCAGATAGCGCAATTGGTTTCCCTAATACTTATCCGCTGGATAGTGATTTATCCGCTGGATAGCGCTATCCAATGTTTGAACAACCAGGGCCAGATAGTACATAATTGGTTTCCCCAATACTTTTCTGCTGGATTGTGATTTATCCAGTGGATAGTGCTATCCAACTTTTGAACAACCAGGGCATGGAGTTCAGCACACCAACCAACCCAATCCCATCTGACCAGCAGCTCAATATTGCAGAAGAACAAGAAAAACCTGGCGCATTATTATTTTTGCATATCCTTAACCTTTTAGAAAAATTGTGACAAGATGGTCACATCATTCAGGAAAAAGTGTCTTCGCTAACTCAAGGGGTAAGTGGATTACATGGAGGCCCCTCTCCCCCTCCCCCACCTCCACTCTAATGATACCAAATTCTCCCTTTACATTACAAGCATACCAAGTCAAACAGGGAGGAGATGTTAGCAGTTTATCAGAAAACTTTTAAGGGATTTTTCCAGGTACAATGTTCAATTTTGATGTTGACTTAAGTAAACAACTCGAAAAAAAATACAAAAATATAAAATTATTATTCTCATGATATTTCACTGCATAGTTAACAGTCAAAATTCATAGAACTTACCTCAATTGTTGCCTGATTAAGCATTTCCTGAAGTGCTGTATCAAATGCTCTCTTCTCCCCGCTTGAAAACACTCTATTTTCTGCTTCTTGTACTCGTTGCCTAGCATATATGTGTCTGCTATTTGCTTTTTCATACTGAAGGGTTGCCTGTTGTAACTTAACATGAGCCTGCCAATGACAAGGGACATGTACAGAGTGTATTAATATGAATTGTTAAATTTTCAACCTCGGATAATGCATTTCTAGCATTGTGATTGGTTCACTCAATCTCGGTCATCAGCTCATATACCTTAGTTTGACCTTATATGGAAAACAACAAAATTTCTCTCGGACAAAGAGGTGGAAAAAAGTAGATTTCACAAGCTTTCTACTGATGAAACAACAGAAAAAACAAGAAAATGCCATACCAGCAGCGACAGAACAGTCAAAACTTTGGTTTGAAATTACTTAGTGGTACCTCAAAGATTCCTAACAAATTATATTCTTCCATACATTGAGCTGATTAACAAAGTTTACATAAACATTTTCAGAATGGCTTGCAAGTCCTTGTAGAGTAAGTTTTCAAAACCATTAGAAGATTTTTTGCATGTTTGAAGAGCTTTTACACCTCCTAACACTTTCGCCAGTCCATAATGGTCCATAACAGGCCTCAAGTGAATCCTACAATGAGCGGCTTTCCATTGAACAACAACAACAACAAATTATTGATTAATGAAGCTGGGTCTTTGTGCAGCTTTGATTCAGTGGAGGAAGTCTAAAACAAAACTGAAGAGCAATCAGGTCGACCTATTCAGTGTCAAATTCCACAGTCACAGCAAAGGAAAGCGAAAACAGTACTTGTCGGGAATAATTTCAGCACAGCATCCTTCCATTTCAGATTTTTCATTCAACTCAGTTCACAAATGGCACACACGTCATGTGATTTTCCCTTGGTTTACTGGAATTCACATTAATATCCGGTTGTTTTGTAATATTTAAAATGAAATTTCGAAAATTCAGTTGTAATAACCAGATGTTTTCAAGAGTTTAAAAAAATTTACCAAAACAATTATTTCACTCATGCTTGTTGGATATGAGATATTTATAGCCAACTCATATCCAACGTGTGCAAATGGGATAATTATTAAATGTTGCAGTGCTGAGTTGAAAGATTACAATGTACAATACATACATTGTATGTGCCAAAGACAGAAATCTTCAGCTTAAAATCCCTTCTCAGAAGGATATCTGCAACAATTAAACTATTTTTGTTTTAAATCAAAACTTCAGACAGACACGCTCTTTGTTGTTTTTGCTAAAGAAAAGACAGGAATCTTTTATCCAGCTTTTCTGGGTGCTTTTTGGAAATAACATACAACATTTCTTGATTGTAGTTGATCTGATACAAGCCTCTAATGTTTTCTTTTTTAAATTGAATGTTAAGGTCTCTCTAGGGAAAAAAGAGATATCCTTGTAAATTGATTGTCCTTTTGGCTTCAATTTTTTATTTTGGCCAATTGAGTCTGACCTTCCTTATACAATCATGTAATGAACTCTGACCTCCCTACCTTACGCAGCTCTCTCAAAACATCATAAAAAGGTCGAGCTTTTTCAATGTTCTTATTGCCAAGCTTTTTTGTCTGAGCATTTAAATGATAAGTGGCAGCTGTCATGGTTTGCCGGAAGACCGCTCTGGCCTCCTACAAAACATTGAATAAGAAGAAAATCAATATTAAGAATTAACTTAAAAGAAAGGAAGCAAAGAAAAGAAAGAAGAAGGCTGGTTGACCGGGATGTAGCTACATGTAAGAGCCATCTGCTATAGTTACATTTCTGGACTGAGGATATTTCGTGGATTTTCCAGACCTAACAGTCCCTATAGGTACATTGTTCTTATCCGAGTATTCTCAGGAGCTGACTTTTTAAATTCTTCCAAACAGATTTCAATGAACAAATCAAAAGAAAAAAACTTATTTCTCAATTTTGTTCGATTGGAAAGTCCAAAAACTAGATTTTCAAATCCATATCAATATTCCTCAACCAAAAGTATTGCATATATTGGATGCTGGTAATATTATCATTGGTTTAAAAATTAATAATATTGTTGCCAAAAATAAGCATACATTCCTTTGTGCTCATCACATTGAGAGGTTTTCTTAATTCTGATCATGTTCAACCACAAACTCACAATGCCAATAAGTCTCAGGGAATGTTGAAAGAGCTGAGAGACAGACAGACAGACAGACGGAGGGGGGGGGGGGGGGGGGGGGGG